ACAATTTCTGTCAAGCAATATTAGCTTTGAAAATGCCTCATAATTCTAGGTCATAAACTTTAATACAAGGCAATCACTGAGTTTCTAGCATGCATGTAAAATTTATTAATCAAGTGCCACTTTTCAAACATTTAGCAGTTTAATGAATAAATGTATTGCCTGAAATGATGAATCATCAACTTCTGAATTTGAATGATCCAAGAACGGGAGATGGGACAAGTAATTTTTTTTTTAAAATGACACCCCACTTCCCAAAACAACAGATGCTACATCATTCACAATGGCCTTCTGGCATTTCAACCTATTTAAGTTAACACTTTTAAATTGTATTATGAAACCATTAAGTCTGCTGTTTCTGTTGACCGTATCATATAACCATTGAATAGTACAGCACAGAACAAGGCCCGTACGGTGTGGAGCAGGCCTGAACATGTCTTACATTCAGGACACAGTGATCATTTGGCCACAGATCACGGAAGGTATACGATGTACTCATGAAGACATCATAAAATTACTTGAAGATACACAGGTTAAATTAGAAGTTAAAAGATTTGGAGATGTTGTCAGTGCAAGCATTTAGTATGACCTATGACATAGTTACCCTACGTACAGACCCTCTGTCATGGAATCAATGATACGACTGAATGAAGTGTATCTGAAATGCAAAGAGTTAGAACCAGGCCATTTGGCCTATCAAGTTTGCAGTCAAAGAATAATTCAGCTGCATTCAACCACCTGTTCAAGAACGGTCAACATCATATTGGTCACCACAATTTTTGTCCCCCTCACCCATTCATACCTATCTCCCTCTGAACTGACTGCACTCCATGCTCTCAGAACCAACCCTGACTTTGTAATCAAGCCTGCTGACAACTGGTAATGTTGATGTTTGGCGCACTGACCTCTACTTTGAGGAGTTGAGCGCCAGGTTTCAGACACCTTCATCTGTCTTCCTTTGGATCATGATGCCACCAGTGAACACCAAGCTATTGTATCCCTGGTAGTTACTAATATCATTTCATCTGATAATCTGCCCCCACTGACTCCAAGCTTATAGTCCTCCAAAGCAGCACAGCCCATTTCCACCTCCTTCCCAAAGTCCACAAACAAGACTGCCTGGACAGATCTATTGTTTCTACTTGCTCCTGCCCCACAGAACTCATTTCTACCAACCTCGATTTGATTTTTTTTTCTCCCCTTGTCCAATCCCTTCCCACTCACTTGTGTGATTCTCCTGATGCATTACATTAATTTTAGAACTACCAGTTTGCAGGCTCCAGCGACTTCCTCTTCACCACGGACATGAATCCTTTCCACATCCATCTTCCATCAGGGCTTCTATGCTTCAGCTATGTCCGACCCATCTCCTGCACTTCTGCCCTCACACTCTCTCTTCCCTCCAGCAACCGTGATGGGGTGCCCCTGGTCCTCACTTACCACCCCACCAGCATCCACTTCCAAAGGTTCATAAACTGCCATTTTCGCCACCTCCAGTTGGCTGCCAGCACCAGACACATATTCCCCTCCCTTCCCTTGTCAGTCTTCTGACGGGACTGCTCCCTCTGGGAGGCCTTGGTCCACTCCTCCTCCACTCCCAACACCTCCCACACCTCCATGATGCCTTTCGATTCAATCGCTGGAGGTGTAACACCTGCCAATTTACTTTCTCCCTCCTCACTATCCGAGGCCCCAGATACATCTTCTAGGTAAAACAGCAATTTACCTGCACTTCACTCAATCTGGTCTACTGTATTTGTTGCTCACAATATAGTCTCCTCTATATTACGGAAATGAAATGTAGACTGGGCAACCACTTTGCAGACATCTGCTTTCTTTCCACAAAATGACCCAGAGTTTCCGGTTGCCTGGTACTTCAACACACCACCATGTTCCCTGGCCAGCATCTCTGTCTCGGGTTTGCTGTAGTGCTCCAGCAAAGCTCGGTGTAAGCTGGAAGAACAGCACCACATTTTCCGCTTGGGGACCTTGCAGCCTTCAGGACTCAATATTGAATTCAATAATTTTAGGGCCTGAGCGCTCTCTTCCATGTCCTTCCCCCATCCAGACATACCAGGCCTTGTCATCACATGGGATGCTACCACAACCAACCTAATTTCAGCTACTATTGATTATCCCAGGCAGACCATTACCCATTCCTTTGTATGCCCAACCATTGTTCTCTCTCCCCATTTCCACCTATCATACACTCTTTTCCCAATGCCATCTTCAACATATAAACCAAACTTTTCCTACCTACAATCACGTCTTAAGGAGGATCACAGGATCCAAAACATCAACTCTGCTATCCCTTCCCAGATGCTACTGAGTTTCTCCAGCAATTCATGCTTTTGCTCCAGCAAAGAGAATGTCTGCCAACAACCCCTCAATGCTCTCAACGCACATGTGCAAAACGTGCCTGTCAGTATTGCTAATGACGTCATTCCATCTTGTTTACTTATATTCATTGTGCATACCATGTTTTTACTGACAGTCTTTCACAGGAATGGATGCACAGACCTTTCTCTATGCACAATGTGAACTTTTCAGGAGTTCAGGAGGCACAGCCTCCAGCTGATCTGATTCCCCATTCCTTTCACGTATCCTTGAAATTCTTCTTCCTTCCTTTTTTTATTCAATTCTCTCTTTAAGGCTACAACTAAATATATTTCCACCAATCTCAGGCAGTGTATTCCAAATCCTAATGACTTGTGTGAAGGTGTTTTCCCTCGTATCACCTCTGGTTTTTTTGCCAATCAACTTAAATTTATTTCTATTTTGCTCTGCATACGCACTCTACACTGCAATACCAACTTTTGTATTTGTTCTAAAAAGAGTAAATTGCATGTTCAATTTACTCAAGCTCCTCTGCAATATTCAATGAACAACAATCAGTATTTAGGCAGACAAAGTAACTGTTGAAACAAAGAATGTTTATATTTAAATATGGAAGAATATGAACACATCCAGCACAATTAACATGTTTACTGCATCATTTACATTATTAAGCTAAATATTATCTATAAAATGGTGCACCAACACTGGTGTGATTTTAACTTCATGGTCATAGAAAGTAAGAGTGGCTACAAACTTTTTAGGTTTAAGCAAACGCTTTGCCACTGGAGGAAAGTGAGGCTACTTAATGTATGTGGGACAGCCCAGAGAGTATTGAACCTGTGAGAAGTCATGGCACATGGTAGCAGACTTCAAGGTAACCATTTGCAGAAACTGTAAGCAGGAAGGGCACTTGATTAAGGACTGCGAGGGGACCAAATTCTGCAATCTGTGCGGGGAGGCAGGATACCTTGACAAGGCCTGCCCAAGACATGGAGCCACTTATGCTCAAATGGGCCAGAGGTGGCACTGTGATCAGTGGTTCTTAAAAGGACATTAAGGCACCACACTCCAACAAGGCAACTGAGTCAAAGGACATTTAGAACAAGGGTAAGGCGTGAGAAAAAGGAGAAAAGGATACTGCAGGGAGGGATCAACCTACTGGGGAGAAAACCAAGTCAATGGAGGAAAAGGCAGCAGATAAGCAACACGAATGGCAGACGGTGAGGACAAATCTCAGAAGAAAAATACACAGTGCCACCACAGGCCAAGAGTACAGTGGAAAGCATCAGTTGCACTAAAGACATGCTAGCAGCTCCTCTAATGAAGATGTGCAGGAGGAAGGCCACAAACAGAAGACGTGACTAAGTATCAAAATGGGGAAGGAGATGAGAGCACCCAGCTGGAAAATGCTGGACATAGCAACGGACCAAATGATGTCCCCCTCCACGATGCTAGGTGCACACACCACACCCCTACTCCACGTAACCAACTGATCTGATCAAAGCCTTGCAGTCCTTCCACACCTAATCATGAAGGGAGAAGCCTCCAAATGCATCCACAGACTCAATGATGATAGAACTCAAAATTTCAGAGCAAAAGACAAAGCAGAAGCATGTGCAACTTCTTCAGGCAGAAATGTCAAGTGAATGTTCCATCTTGACCTCTTGCTATTCTCTTAACCACAGGGAGGGCAAAAAAGATTTACCACACTACTTACTGGGGCCTGACGTATGGGGCACTATTACCTAACTGTAACAAAAACTTTGTGCATTGGTTGCAGAAGGCCTCATGTACATTACTATACTCTTGCACCCTCTGAAGGGACACTCAGGCGTGGATGTAACCTTGGAAGATAGGCAGTCTAAACAACCCTCTTGACTGCCTGTTGCCTGGACTGTTTGCAAAACTGTTCCCAATCCTCCAAACACAGTCTGAATAAGGCTTTGAAGAGCTGAAGCAGAAGTTTTACCCCATTAGCCATGGGAAATGCAGGGTTACAGGGAAAAGGTAGGGGGATGGGGATGGATCTTGGTGGGAAGCTCTTCGAAAGGTCGGTGTGGACTTAGCGGGCCGAATGGCTTATTTCCACATTGTAGGTGTTCTATAAATATCCTGAAATGATATGGGGGCATTAAGCAGGTGATAACGCCAAGAAGTCAGCGTAAGAGAAAAATGCAATTCTACGTTTTCAGAAAGTGAACTTTTTGGTCCAGCAGTTGTCAACATTAAGATTTCTTGCCAAGCAAAACTGCTGGTGTGTGTATATGTATGTGTGGAGGAGGGGAAAGGAGATAATACCATGAGGGAATTAATCTACCTCCACTCCTCCTCCTGTTGCTGCCGCTGTTGCCTGGGGCGTACAGTCCAACACCAAGACGCGAAAATTACGAGTTGGAGATAGTAAGAACTGCAGATGCTGGAGTCAGAGATAACACAGTGTGGAGCTGGAGAAACACAGCAGGCCAGGCAGCAGCAAAGGAGCAGGAAAGTTTCGGAACAAAAACAGAAGTTGCTGGAAAAGCTCAGGCAGCATCTGTGAAGAAAAAAAATCAGAATTAACGTTCCGGGTCCGGTGACCCTTCCTCAGAAAGTTTCGGGCCGGGACTCTTCTTCAGAAAAGAAAGTTTCACAAAACCCACGAGTAGGCCTCGGGAGTTCAAACTTACCTTCATTTTCAGCAGGTTTTTCGATAATTTCATTGCGCTCTCTCTCGCCATTTTTGTGTGTTTTTTTGTGTTTATCTTTCTCTTGATTGTTCAGAGGAGGAATCGAAGAAACGCAAAAAGAGAAATAAACACTACACCAAAGTCGCCGGCGCTTCCTCCGTCCCCGGCAACACGTTGACAACGGACGCGACCAATCGATCGGACGAGCCCCAGCCGCCGCAGCCAGGCTAATCAATCGCCGGAAACAGGATGCGGAGCTGTCCAACTGCTGCAAGTTCTTCGCACGGGATGGCTCACCATCCAGCACAGGGATAGAGGAGCTCACAGATCAAAGTAAATTGTATTTTTGTCAGCTGTCTCTTTTTCTTATCCGCAAACACAAGACATACCCCCTAGAATCTGAAATAAAATGCTGGAAATCTGAAACAAGGGCAGAAATTGCTGAGGAAGTTCTGAAGAAGGGTCACCATGTCATCATGTCCTCTCTCCCCTCCCCCCACCTCCACCCCAGTGGGACTGACTGTTCCTTCCAGTCTGGCAGTTAGACACATTATTGTTCTGCCATTCTCACATTCCAATCACTTAATCTGAACTATCAACATCCTTTCTCCCCCAGCACTCTACATGCCAACGTCCTCCCCCAACCAAAGCATAAATCCTGCCCCCTCCACACTTCAGTCAGCTCTGATGAAGAGTCGTTTAGACTCAAAACATTATATACTCTCTCTCCATGGATGCTTCCTGACCCACAGTAATCTCCAGCATTTGTTGTTTTAAGTTCTGAAGAAGGATCACTGGATTGGAAACATTCATTCTGCTTCTCTCTCCACAGATGCTGCCACACCTGCTGAGTTTCTCCAGAAATTTCTGTTTTTGTCTCTTATAATCTGTATGTTTAAAACATTATTGTAACTGTTTGATGGTTGGTGGACCCAGAAGGGTACTAATCCTTCATCATAATTTCTATTACTTTCCAGATTGTACTCCTTTTGTACCCAACTGTTGTATGAAATAAGACAATGAAAGTGATTGATTAAGATGGAAATAATCAGACTATTTAACAAGCAACATGGAAAAAGAAAAAAAAATTGCAAAAGATTAGAGACTACAAAAAAAAAACCCCCCCCCCCCCCCACCCCCGCCACATCACAGAATAGGAACAACAATAGGCACTGCAGCTTATCAATTAAGAGCAAAATAAACTCTAAGAAAAGATATTTATGGCAAATTTTAAAGGAAGTCAGATTGATATCTGTTGAGAAGGGTCTAAAAAGACTTAACTACACTATTCAAGGGAGATCACTTTTGGAAGTTAATATTTGGTTATGAGAGAAGTAAATCCGTGAAAGAACAATTGTCTGTAATCCTAAAGGAGTGAGCTTGATTGGCACAATGACTTTAGCTTGCACTTTTTTGTATGCAATATTGGCCGTTATAAAGCTTTTATCAATGCCTCTTTAAAATGAACAACTTGTTACCAAGAAGGGTATGAGACTAGCTGAGCAACATCTCTGATTTTTTTTTCTAGGAAGGAAGGGGTACCTCCATTCAGCAGCTCCCACAGCAAATCTACATTTAATTGCACCATGGCATCACATATTGTTGTACACACTGGTCAATATTCTGCAGTTGGTAATGAACCATGGGCACTTGCCACTGACACTGAAGACCCACAAGGATGTAGTGATCTCTGTGATATGAGTTTCCCCTCCCCTTGTCAGAGTAATGGAATCTCTTGACATGCAGCGACTTTGATTTAAGCAAATAAGTAAGCAGCCTTGCTGACCAGCAAGACAAGCTGCCTGGTAGAGTGACTGCGCTAATTGATATGGCAAGACAAGTGAGGGCAAAGCAAGGTATGGGTGCTGTGAGCATGCAGGTACAAGCTAAATGAGTGAATACTACAAGCAAAAGAGCAGCCCTGAGATACAGTGTAGTCCATTCCATGGGTCAATGGCCTGTGTGTGTACACAAAATGTTCTTGCAGCAGTGTTTCAATGCTAATTGCCCAGTGCACCCGGCAGCAAGTCTATGCTTCCTAAGCAGCCGAAAAGTGGATTGGAGAGGCGCCATGATGAACATGAGGAGTTGGCAAATTTCCAATGCCAAGTTCCATGGATAAGGGATGCATGTGACTGGAACCCATGGACCATGCCCTGAGATGCCATTTTGTGCTAAGCAGCCTGGAGACATGGAGCAACAGTGAGCTGAAATCACCAGGTACCTGCTCCGATGCCCATGTTAATATTTCTCGATGTCTAGCTTGTTCAGCACGTTTGCTGTGCTAGGAAGCTAATTGAGGTGAGTTGGGTCATTAACAAGGCATTTGAAAAGCAACAACCCCCTTAACTGGAAACTTGCCACTGTCTTAGTGTAAAACTTGCCTCGATACACAAAAGATGCAGCAAGATGCTGCTGACATCGAGATAAGCCTCTGATTCCATCACAAATTTCACCATATAATATTCCACCCTATACTTTCCCATTAGTAAACACCCCTCCTCCTCTGTAACATCACAAGTGTTGCTGAACAAAGAGACCTTCGAGTGCAGGTTCATAGTTCCTTGAAAGTGAGGTCACAGGTAGATAGGATAATGAAGAAGGCGTTAGGTATACTTGCCTTTATTGGTCAGTCCACTGAGTATAGAAGTTGGGAGGTCATGTTGTAGCTGTAGAGGACATTGGTTAGGCCACTTTTGCAATACTGCATTCAATTCTGGTCTCCCTACTATAGGAAGGATGTTGTGAAACTTGAAAGGGTTCAGAAAAGATTTACAAGGATGTTGCCAGAGTTGGAGGGTTTGAGCTATAGGGAGAGGCTGAATAGACTGGGGTTATTTTCCATGGAGCATCAGAGGCTGAGGGTTGACCTTATAGAGGTTTATAAAATCATGAGGGGCATGGATAGGGTAAATAGACAAGATCTTTTCCCCAGGGTAGGGGAGTCCAAAACTAGAGGGCATAGGTTTAAAGTGAGAGGGGAAAGATTTAAAAGGGACCTAAGGGGCAACATTTTCACGCAGATGGTGATAAAAGTATGGAATAAGCTGCCAGAGGAAGTATAGGAGGCTGGTACAATTACAACATTTTAAAGGCGTCTGGGGAGGTATATGAATAGGAAGGGTTTAGAAGGATATGGGCCAAATGCTGGCAATGGGACTAAATTTATTTAGGATTTCTGGTCAGCATGGATGAGTTGGACCAAAGGGTCTGTCTCCATACTGTATATCTCTATGACTCTATGAATCTATGACTCTATCTACCACCCCCATGCACCCCTCCCCCACCCCTGGCAAAATTATCTGCTGCTCAAACCCTTACCCATGCCTTTACTAACTTGCAACTTGACTATTCCAATACTCTCCTGAATGATCTCAACTTTGATATTTATTCAGTTGAATAAAATAGTTGCATATTTGAACTCATTTGAACTTCTGCCTATGTTTCCCTAAGTTGCAGCAAGTCTAATCACCTCTGTGCTCACTGTCCTACATTGACTCATGTCCAATTATGACTCAGTTTTAATTTTTCCACCTTTTTTTCACAAATCCTGCATGCCCTTACACCTCCATATCTCTTAACCTGCAACCTTCAGCCCCCTTATGCATTTCTTATTTCCTTCATTCCATCACTGTCCAACGTTGCTTCAGCTGTCTCAGCTATTAATTCAAAGTGCCCACATCCTAAACACCTTCACAATTCTTCTTTTCTCTTCCTTTAAGATGTTTCAGAAAACCTATTACTTTTATCAAGTTTCTGATGACTGTCTGAATAACTTCTAATGTGTCATGCTATCAAATCTTGTTGAAACATCATGGAATGCTTTCTAAAATTAATGACATTACATAAATACAATCTTTAATTATATTGTTATAATTTCCTTGCTTTTATTTTTTAACAGTTGGATTCCTATCCATCTTATTGTTTGTTTGTAAGAAAAACTTTTATCTACTTCTTTTACAGATAGAATAACACCCATCACATTACATTGACTTTTCCTATATAGTTGATTTAAACTAGTTGTTTAAATTCCTTTATCTTCCACTATCGGGAATGTTTTTCCAGAACCCATTTTTATCTCTCTAGCTGTTAATTTTACACGCAGAACTTTACACTGCTTTTGGCTTGTTTTCTCAACCAGTTTTACTTCAGCTTTCTTCCTCGTCAGCAATCTATATGTAAACCACATTTTCCTCTTAAACTGTAATTTCCAGCGTCTCCTTTTTAGCTTTCTATTGTGTTGATAGAGTGGTTTCATCTTCTCTACATTGCATTTTATAGATTAAGTGCATCATTTGTTGGACTAAATGCAACATCATATTTGAACTCAAGGGCAAAAGTGTTGAATGACCATTTCACTGCTTTTATTTCATAATGCACAGTGGAACCAAAGAGCATCATGTTCTATGATATGCGTTATTTGTTATGTTATTACTGTAAATAGCTGTGAAGGTCAGCGGATAGCTAACCCTGAGTAAACTATATTGGGCTCCGGCGATCCTAAGATTTCTCCAGATTATGCAATTGCATATAAATCCCCCCAAAAAATAATCCATATGGGCTGATGCATAGCAGACATAGCCAGCTATTCCTACAGATATTTGGATTACAGTTTCAATTTTTTTGCATCCTAATTCTATTGCAATTTTAAAGAGGGGACAGCTATGTAAAAATGTGCTTGATTAAAACCATTATCTTTGTTTACAAATCCAGAATAGTTAAGCAGGTTACATTGAAATGCAACATATAATTCATATATAATGTCATTGTCACAGAAAAGCTCATTCAAACAAATGAAAAATCAGTTGCCAAACATATTGTCATGAACCTGAGGTTTCTTCAAACATATATCTTTCATTGGATCAAAACAGATGAAAAAGATCAGGTTATATTTTTAAAGTAGCAGAACTACCCTTTACTTTGTCGAGAATCATCCATTAGGAAAGTGTTCAAGTCTTTGCATTCAAGAACAATTTCTTAAACGTAATTTACAGGCTGACAATGGTGAATTCTCTTTCTCACCCTTGTTTCTTTTATTGTTGCGATTGACATAAAACAGTGACAAAGAATGAGATTTCGAGATGGCTCTGTTCTAATCATATCTTGACCCACTTTCAGCCAAGAACTGTGGAATACAGTGAGTAATTCCTGTTTAAGAGCAGAGTCTTCAATTTGCAGCTATATATCC